AACAAAGCTTTGCTGTTACCATAAGTAGCATTGCTGTTGCTTGTTACTTAGTTAATGTCATTCATGTTTAAATACCCAGAATCCAGGGTACATGATGTTTACTAGTGTTACAGGTTTTCCTGTTCACAGTAAACTTGGCTTTCTCTGACATCAAGAAAGCAGTGGAAGTTCCCTCTTCCTATCCAGCAGTAGGTTTTTTTTTTTTCTGATAAAGATTAACTGCTTGAGCCTTGGTGCCTCTCAGTGGCATCTAATGTAAAGTATAATTTGGGCAGACTTCTGGGGATTATGTGTAGTACATGTAAATGTGATTTGGCATGCATCATATTATAAATTTTATATATTTACCCTATACTCTATAGCCTTGGTGCCAAGCTGTCGGTAGCACAGGTCAAAATTACTGATAAAATAGAAACACTAACTTGCTTTATTACTTCTTCTGTTGTTTTGACACATAATATAATTACATCATTCTCCCTTTCCTCCTTCTGAATTCTCCCATGTATCCCTCCTTGCTATTTCAAATTCATGGCCTCTTTTTCATTAATTGTTATAACATGCATTTATGCGTCTACGTGTATATTCCTAAATACATAACTACAAACTACTCTGTCTGCATAATGCTGCTTGTGTGTGCCTGTTTTCAAGGTTAACAGTTGGGCGCTGGATAATCAGTGCTGTGCTCTTCCCTGGGGAAGACTATGCCTCCCACTCCCAGCATTCCCCAGTTATCTGTAGTTCCTTGTATAGCATGGAAGCTTCAGGGTCATTTCTCCATTCACTTTAATGTAACTATTATTGCTATCCTTGTTCTGCTCACGAAACGCTGAATTTCAATCTGTTTGTATTTATGAAAGGAGTTTGGCACTTGTAAAACATTCATTTTTTTTCCTTCTCTCCCTCACAGAGTTACCCCTGGACTACAAATTTACAAGATTCTCTACAAACAGTTCAAAAACAGCTGGTTATTATCCATTGGTTCATTATTCCTTGTATTCTCAAGACACAGACAGCAAAATAATATTTACTGAAAAATGAGCCAATCGTATGTGCATCAGACATACTGTTAAAAATGTTAACTTTCAAAAAATACAAATGTTTTATAGGAATAATTTTTAAATGAAAATTAACCAAATGGGTTAATCTGACTTTTTAAAAACATCTATCATTTTATATAAATCATTTTAATGTTTAACAGTTCTTGTTATAGTAGAATTTTTAGTGCCCTAAACTAGAAAAGAACATGATTAATATTTTCTGTACAGTAGTTTTGAGAATTCTCCCTAGATGATAACTAACATATATGCAAGCATATATTTATATATCTCCATAGTCCGGCAGTTTCCAAAGCTTGGTCCACAGACCAGCAGAGCAACATAGATCTTGAAAATGCACATTTGAATGCTGTGTTCCAACCCTCCTGAAACAGAAGCTTCAGGAGTAGGGCCCAGAAATGGCTTTTGAACAAGCCTGCCAATGAATGTGATTCTCAGCTGTGATTTGAGACCTAGTGAGTACACTCTGTGCTCCAAAATAGATTTGCATGGATAAACACAGCTGGGTATTCATGTCTCTCCTATGTTCATATCGAAAAGGGTAACCAGAATTGATAGCAGACATGAGTCTAGTGAAACTAATTTTTTTCTAAGATATCCAACTTTGTACTATTTCTTTTTTTCTAAAAACGCATAAGTAAAGAGACATGATTTCTTGACATAATGTAGCCTTACCCCTTAGCATCAATTTTTCCTATTAGGAAGAAGTTAGATTTATACTACTAAAGTCAGCTTCAGCTTTGTCTTTGGGAAGAGAGAGTACTGAGTGCTGAAAGCAGCACTCTGTGGAGTGTTATCAGTACACTCCAGGTGGGTGTCGTGTCCTGCGTGGCTGCAATTAGTTACATTAGTAAGCAGCATTTGCATCAGATCATGGTCACACAAGATGTTTAGATTCAGGTACATTTGTAAGTTTCTGGTCCCCTTTTTGCTTGTTAACTTCACTCACCATAATAGACAGGATTAGAAAACATTACCGTTATTTTTCTTAGAATTTAGCATATTAACATATGCACTGAAAACTATTTTTTTTAATTTGTAAATGTTCAGCTAGATCCCAGTTGTTCTAGGAGGATCCATTTCTCAGGGTAATTAAAAGGATAACTTTTTTCCTTATCATCTGTATCTCTGATGTTGATCAGTAAGTATACATACACTGTGATGTAATTGATATCCAAAACGTCATCAGAGTGTTATACTGAGCACGCGCAATCAAGCTTAGGGCCAAAAAAAGATGCTGTCTATTGTATGCTTTAAGTGGAGATTTCACTTTGCTTTAAAATAAAACTATTTTTCCCTATGGGTGTTTCTTGTGTTACTGGACAAGAATGCTTATTATGTTTTTACGTGTGTGTGTGTGTGTGTGTGTGTGTGTGTGTGTTCTTTCCCTCTATCATGTATGTCCCAGGGATTAAACTCAGGTCACCAAACTTGGGGTAAGTGCCTTTACACACTAAGCCATCTTGTGGCCCAAAAATATGTGTTTCATGATTGTTGATATAAGAATTGAGAAGCCCAAAATTTAAAAAATAGTTGTATTTTTTTTTTTTTTTGGCCACTAAAGAATGGGACGAAAGTGACTTCATTTGAAAAGTCCTTTCCCAGTTCCCACTTAAGACCTTGACGGAGGCGCCATCGTATCTGACCTCTCCTTTTCCATCTTGGAGTTAGAGTTCGGGGCACCTTCCCCTTGTCACACCCACCGGCTTGTCACTGCTGACTCCAGTGAGCGCTTCCTGATTTTATGTCATGGTTCATACAAAGATTTTATGTCATGGTTCATACAAAGTGCCAGTGTTTCTAGCTGGATAAGGAAGTTAAGCACGGGGCTGACAAGATGCCTTTGTGGTTAAAAGTGCTCACTGCCCAAGTCTGATGACCTGAAACCCTCAAAAAGGTGAAAAGAAAGAACGCCCCCCCCCTGCGTGTTCTGTCATCTCTTCACGTGTGCCGTGTCATACTCATGCCCAAATACACACAATGATGAGAAATTTTAAAAATAGCAAAAACAATACACTAAGCAGTATCACATAAATTAAAAGGAGGGACTGGAGAAGTAGGTGTCTCCGCATTTAAGAGTACTAGCTGCTCTTGCAGAAGACCTGGGCAGCTCACAGCTGTCCTGTAACTCCAGTGCCAAGGGATCTGAAGCCCTCTTCTGGCCTCCTGGTCCAGACACCCACACATAATATGAGTAAGATTTTTAATTATAAAGAATATTAAGGAAACGCTGCTTATCACTTTAATGATATCAAGGTTATTCATGTGTGTGCCATGGAAGCCAGAAGAAAGCATTAGATCCCCTGAGGCTGGATTATAAATGGGTTGTGAGCCTCTAGATGTTTGTGCCAGGAACCAAACTGGAGTCTTCTGCAAGAGCAACAGGTGCTCTTAACCGCTGAGCTATCCTTCCAGCCCGTGTTCCTTCATAGTTATATACACTAAAAAGCATGGAATTTTCTAACATAACCTAACCAGTGTGCTTTTTATGGTAACTTCAGGACCTATCCTGATTTTTGTCACTTATAATACTGTTGTCATTGGAAAGATCCTATTTGTGAGCCACCCTTGCTTCCATTTGTGCTAACAGCTCCTCCCTTGGTCTGAGTCTTATGGGGCTTAGCATAGCCTCTGTAAGAAACACCATGGGGTCTGTGAGTGCTAAATGATCTCCCTCAGCAGTGTGCTGCTTTGAAAGGAGTGCTCAGTACTACATACCTGTGACGCTGCCTCTTAGGGAAACAGAAGGAGGACGATCAAGAGCCAGAAACCAGCCTGGATTACACACATGGTGACACCATCTCGAAGGACAAAATGGTTACTAGAAACACCCAAAACATGAGTATGTGACTGAATATATCTGGACACACTTAAAATATTTCATAACTCCAGTTATGAGTGAGGGTTTTCCCAGCCACTATTCTGAAAAGGTTTGGAGACTAAACACATCTGCATTATCTACATTAAGAAAGGTATGTATGCTACATGGTTTAAGTAAATGAATAAGCAAATAATGAATAACCAAGTATTTTAGCCATCTAAGCAAAAAAATGACAAATGGACCAAGATTTCTGCTGAGTTAAAAACTATCAAGTAGCTGGGTAGTCCGTGACGTTGCTGGCACCTGGCGCATTTCCTGCATGCAGATGTTGCTGACATTGATTCCTGGGCTCAGGAAGAGAGCTGGGCTTTCTCTTGCAGGTTAACCATCTGTTGCAGCCTCTGCCTTTTTCCTGTGCTAGGTGTAACCAGAGCATGCCACTGTACCCTGCCATTCCTTTATTTTCAGCTTTAGTCTAGCAAAGGTATTCCTTCTGATGAGACAGCACCACTCCCTTGCTGCAGGTTGACATGGTTTCTGTTCTGCTTAATCTACTGTGAAATTTAGACTCCGACATCCTATCTGCGTCACTTGCCAAACAGCTGGTTCGTTCCTACATCCCTTCCCTGCTCCATTCCCTTGAATTTATTCTTTCTTCCTCAGTTTTAGATCTTAATTTCCTTCCTTTGATACAGTCTTCATACTAGACAGACAGACAGATAGATGGATGAGTGCCATGTATATGCCATATATACATCTTGAATTAAGGCTATATCAAAGGAGATTTATATATATGTATATATTAGAGAGAGAGATGTGCATGTGTATATATATGATATATATGTATACATACAAGTATAAAATCAGCCCAGCTGCCTCTGAGTTGCTTTGTAGCCCAAGCTGGCCTCATACTCCAGCTCCTCCTTCCTCAGGCTCCCAAGCGCTGCAGTCACAGATGTGAGCTGCCACACCCAGTTCCCCTAGTTGTTCTCTGTGCAGCCTCAAAACCAGTTCAGATAGTCTCCCACCTGCCTGCCAAAGAATCATAATTTTGGTCTTCTCAGTTCATGTTGCCCTGTGAACACTTCATTGCTGCCCAACCTGTATTATCCCAGACAGCAGAGAACCTTTTATTCATCTTTATTCATTTATTTCTTTTTGGTGATGACAAGAAACACAACAGTAACATAGTTTTCCTTCAAGCACACAGGAGAAGACAAAAGACTAAGGTTCTCGTTTCCTGTGATAGCAATTCTAGTCCCCACACTGGTTAAGAACATAATGTCAAGTATTACTACAGCAAGAAATATCAGTAGGACAAGTTACATTTTTCCTTTTGAAATCACTTTTACAAGACACAGCAACAGTTTTCAAAATCTTCAGACGTCAAAGATCACATTGTGCGGATTGTGTTTCTAAGAATACAGCTATAGGTGAACAGACACCAGAATAAGTTAATCTAGTAATGAATATTCACAGGAATCTTCATACTGCAAAGGACAGAAATTCAAATGTTTGCACTTGTTCTCAATTATAAGCAAAAGGCAGGCTTGTAAACATCAATTCTGCCAGTCAGCTGACAGGGAGTAAGGGTTTGGTCAAGCGCAGTGGGATAAGGAGTGCACACCATTGATCTCCCAGACAAAGGTCACTCCTGGAATCTGAAGGCAAAAAACACCCAGACTTACATCTGTTTACAAAAGATCAATTGGTGAAGTTGAGAATTAGGAAGGGCTATAGGAAATACCTTCAAGCATCCCTTTTAAATCCCAACCCATCTGATCTCCCTCCCCATTCTACCCTGGGACATGCCTTGGGGACCCCTGCTCCTGCAAGATGTCAGTCATCATAGCTGGCCTATGACTCCCTCAGTAACACGCTCCCTTTCTCTCTACTCCCCTTCTTAAAGTCTCAGCCTCCACTGAAGGTATCCAGATCTCCTGTGCCCGAGCTTCAGACAAGTCCTTTAAGTCAGAAAGGGAACCGGTGAGGGCGACAGCTGCAGGCTTCGAACTAGGAGCCGCTGTCACTGCTGCGTACCCACGGGAACACATCCTGCAACCCAGACTCCTCACACACCCCCATCCCGCAGAAGAGGCTTGGAGTCTCCCACAATGCACTCTACAGCCCACTCCCTCCTTTGTTAGGATGGAAACAAGGGAGGAAAGTCAAAAGCTGATAAGTAAGGGCCAAGGTCATGCGTACTGAACGGGGGTGACGCACATAGCTGCTCTCTGGTCATTCTACAGGCTGAGGCCGGAAAACCAGGCGGCTTCAGAAACAGGTGCAGTCGTAGCTGGTCCTTCACATCCTGCCCCAGGGAGGCACAGTTTGTCATTGACAGTCTTCTTTCTCTTCTCCCAGGGTCTCAAACTAGAGTTTAGGAAACACACAGCGTCTGGTAGTGTGGACAAGGAGGGAGGAGGGGAGGGGGTCTCCCTTGGCATTTTCAGATGTTGCTAAGAGACGTGTGAAATAGTGAGGGCAGCAAGAGATTTGGAGACTACAGTAGCTTTTTTTTTTTTCCTGCCTGTATACAGTGGGGGAGGGGAGGGAGAAAAAAAAACCCTGCTGCCAGTTTTGTTTTTCTGTCTCTGGGCTGTAACTGCTTCAAAGAGAAAGGAACGGGGGGGGAGAAAAAGAGAAGAGTCAGTGAGAGAAGACAAGCAAACCCTGTGTGCCACAAATGATTTCTAACTGCCCCGACCTAGGCAGCTTGGACTTTAATCAGAGTGGGTATGGATGCAGGAAGAGGGGGTTACCAAACAAAATCGCCTGGCTTCGGAATAATTTGTTGGCTAGGGCTCAGAAGAACTAACTGCTACGGTGGCCACTCCAGCTTTGCCTTGGGCACTGTCACGTGTGACTAAGCATCCTGCCCAGTAGCCAGCTGAGTCATGGGTAATGGTACACACTGTAGGGGGCACTGTGTGCTGCCTAGGAGCTTAGGTCCTTAGATAGTTCCTGAGGAACAGTGTTGGCTTGTGCAAAGCTCACCCCAGACAGAACTAGTGGGCAATTGCACAGGTCTTCATACTCACCAGTAGCTGATCACGATGCACAGTAACCAAAGGTACAAGACCAATGTGGAAACATAAAACACTCCTCGACTATTACTTCCCTCATGCCTAGTAGTCACCCACCAGCTTGTTACTGTTATACCCATAATAAGCAGGGTGAAGAGCAAAGGCCCCAGGAAGACAGCTAGGATCAGTTGGAATGTCCTGTTGGGCTAATGGCTGGGTTGGGATACAGTTCCATCTTGCAGTGGTGAAAGTCACAATTCATCACAGTACATAGACATCAGGGACACAGCATGAAACCTGGCTAGTTCTTGGTGAGGATGGGTCAAGCTTTCTTGTGGTAGAGAACCACTTTTAAAAACTAGAAGAAGACACAGTCACAGACAGGAACCAAGCCATGCAAAGGAAGGCAGTGCAGACTACAGCACTGTGAGCTTGGCATAGAAGCAGTTTGGAGGCCATGCACTTGGAACACCATTAACACTATGCAGAACGTCGTGATGGCCTAGAGAAAGAAGAGCACAGACTTGGAAGCCACAGTCTTGAAACTACTGGAGACTTAGAACCAAAGGACACAATCCAACAGGAGGAGAAAGCAGACAGAGGGCCGCATGCTGCCGGCCAAGCCGAGGAGGTGGGAGGACTCCTTCAGGAGCTTCTCGAAAGGACAGAGCTTAGCCAGACTGGAACCTGAAGGACCTGGGACTCTCCACTGGCTGTCTTGGTGGGACTCGAACTCCTCTGCGTGGCCCATCGCCCATCAGATAATATTGTAGGGGATTGGACCACAGCTCCCCTTTGATAATTTCAGCTATTCTGTCGAATTCTAGGAGGCTGTGGTCTGAGAACCAATTGAAGAAACTGGGAATCGTGTTCCCCTCACGATTCCTGTGGATATGGGCCTGGGGTTCTTGGCCCCGGTGCCAGCGGATTGGAGTGGAGAGCGACACCACTCGACCGGAGGATCTGCGCTCATATTCCTTGACCAGCCCCTCATTTCGGAAGTAGGGGTTGCTTTGAAAGATGAACTTAAACTTGCAGCCTGCTCTTGGGTGCTTCAGCTCCTCCACCTCTAAATTGATCATGTATCTCATCATGTCTTCATCTTGGCCACTGATCATTGGTGACAGCTGGGGGTGGTTCCGAAAAGCGGTGACCCAGAAACCTGGGATGTTCTGGATGATGAAACTTCGGCGCTGCATATGCAGCCTTCTCATCCGCCCGAATTTGCGTTCCAGCTGGAGGAAGGCCCGGTCAGCCTGCGCATTCACGTTTGACAGCTCTTGATCGATGGCCTCCAGCGAGTCCATGCAATTATTGATCTTCGGGGCCCTAGGACGATTCTCCTCCTTCCCTCCTCCAGCTACCTTTTTTTCCTTCTGTACCCCCTTCTTTTCCTGCATCGCCGCCCCTGCTTCTCCCTCCTTTCCCGCGGCCGCAGCGATGGCGCACTTAGTCTTCTTCGCCCCTGGCTTCATCTGAGACCCCAGGCCCACGGCACCACAGGCTTCAAGAGCTTTCGGCCCAGCAGGGCTGCGCGGCCCTCCAGGCTGACAGCCATTTTTATTGCTGTCATCAGCTGCCACCGGGGCTGAGGCTGCATCCCCGCCCTTTGATGGAGACAGAGCATCCTCCAGCCCCTCTCCGGCCGCCGCAGCACCGCGATTCTCAGCCACTGCGGGGCAAAGCGCAGGTCCGCAGTGCTCGGAATCCAGGGGCGCGCCTCCCTCCGCACCGGCCTCACCTGCAGTCTCCATCGCCCGCGCCGCGTCGGTTTCCTCGCGGAGCCCCTGGTCCTGGTTCAGATCCAGATCTTCCGGGGCATGGGCAGGGACCGCGGTGTTAGCGAGAAGGAGCTCATTGCCCTCATCCAGGCCGCTCATTTTGGAAGATGTCAGCCCTGCAGAGGAGCCTTCCTTGTCCTCTGCAGACGCAGCGCAGCACCGCAGTGAGTGCTTAGCTCCACCCCTTTTCCTTCGGGGCTGCTGCTACCATGGCAACCTGTGACGTCAGGGTAGCAGCTGCATCTAACTGTAGCGCGAGAATTCGCTACCCAGGTAATTTGCTTGTCAATCAAGTGTAATCTTTTTGTCTTTTTACCCGATGCTGTAAATTTAATATTATCTGGGAAATTGCGTTCATTTACATAAATGGATGCAGAATTGTATTAATGCGTATTTGAAAATCTCCGATTTAATTTCGACAGTACCTAAACCATTGTCTCAATAAACTAAAAAATAAAAGCTATTGTCTAATAAAAATCAGGTCTCATTGAGCTCCTCAGAAATAGAAAAGCGAATTCACTAGCTCACAGGCCTTCCTTATTTCGGACGCAAATTCATGGCGGCTACTGAGGAATTGCGCAGAATCTGATTTTGAAAAGGAAGTGTCGTTACTGTTTTCATTTTCATGCAAACAAGACATTCAAAAGATTCATGTCGATTTCTGTAACCATTTTGATGTTTATATACATTGATCAACGTTTATGAAGCAATTGGATATTTACTCACTTTTAAACGAATAGCAAACTGCTTCTTCCTCACAGGTGGTCACACGAATGCCATATACACAAATTTAGCCTTTAGGTATTTCTGGAGGAAATATAATCTCAGAGGGCTTTAATTTCTAAAACGATGCATATTAAAGCTCATTTGTCTTGGGTTATAATCTTAGTTTCTGCTTCATGCTTGTGTGTATGAACCCAACAAACATTTGCCCAAATTTGCTTTTCTGATAGTAGAGACAATTATCGTTTTTTTAAGACAGCTAAGTTATTGTCTCTTTAAAATAGCTACTTAAAAAAAAAGAAAGGTCATGCATTCAAGTCAACTTAGAGAATTTATTTGTAATCACACTGTCTCTTACTTTGCTAAAGTCAGAATGTCGATGTTAACCCTTGGGGATATGGAAGACCAAAGAGAGACTTAAATTCTGCATATTTAATGTTTCAATTCCTGTTAGAACAAGGTGTTACAGCTCTTTGCATTGGGAAATTAATTGACTCTCCCCCAGAGTATGGTTATGCTCAAACAAAAGTCTGGAGATAAGGGTTTAAAGAAAAATAGCATTGCCCCAAGAACTCTAGTGAGGAAAGTGATGGTACCTGGTTCTACTAAGACTGGAAGGTGATGACAGAGACACTGGGGAACAATGAATGGAATATCATTCAGTTTGATTTTTTTCTTTGTGATCCAAATTGAGCATTCCTACTCAAAGACAGAATATCCAGATTGACCTCTTCCAGCTAGAAAATAATCAATTATCCAAATAAAATTAAAATGCGCAAACAAGATTAGTTTCACAGTGTGTTTTACCACAAATGGTGTTAGTGGAGATGAAACAGGAAATTAGTTTCTAAATGTGTCATATATTCAAACAGCATAATTTCTGGCGTCATGTGTGAAATAGTGCAAAGTACTATGTATACCTAAAAACATCCTGTCAATAGGAAGACTTATCACTGGGTGATTATTTCATAGAGGGAATGGTCCCAGTGACAAGCATCTCTGAAGTTCCTATAAATGCTCACACACACTGTAATAACCATAATTAGTCTCACAACTTAGAACTGGTACACACACATTCTAGTTCCTAGGTGGGAGAAATCAGCCTTTAAGATACTATTAAAAATCTGGCTCTAGTTTGTCAGCATTTGATGTAGAATTTTTTCTATTCTGAAGAAACTATTTATGGCAATTTTAGATCATAAGTTCATTGAAATAACTGTGACATGTCTTTTCAGCATAAATTCAGTATTCTACTATAAAGGCTGAACTATATAGTCCTTATTCTACCTAGCCTATCACTATTAAATTTTTTTCATTGGCTTGTGTAGTTATGATGGTTCCCTGTGATATTTTCCATTAAAAACAAAAGACAAAACTCATGTGCCCTTGCTTTCTCCAAAGTATTAAAAAACAAACAAACAACAACAAAAAAAAAACAGGCGAAAGAACCTCAACCTCACTTACACCTGTTACCAGGATTGGTTATGCAAGTACACTTTGTTATTTTGATTTTGTTGTTGTTGTTATTGCAGTGGTAATGGTGGCACCGGGGTTTGAACCCAAGACCACAAGTAAGTGAGACAAGCTCTCTACCACTGAGCCACAACCCTAGTCCAAAACACAAACTATGGAGTCAAGTCCTAGTTGTGCTGGTTAAGAAGCTGGTTGGAGTGGGTAAGTTGTTTCACTTGACAAAGTCACAATGCCCTCGTATGAACAAACTAACGTTTACGTACAGAGCTATCATAAAGAAAATAAAAAGTACTTGGACTGAGATATGCAAAAGACAACTCGGTTGTTTTCCTTGTTATTTTTGTACTAAGAATGCCCACAGTAAATAGACTATATTGCAGTCAGTACAAATGTCAAATTCTAGTATACAGGGCTATAGCAGTGTATAGAATAAAGAAAATAAGTGAAAACTTGGGAAAGAAAAGAGTTGAGTTTCACCAAGAATGCAAGTTAAATGATCAAAGCTTAGAAACCAAAGTACATAGCCACAATAATATGATTATTTCCCAATGATTCCAGACACATGTGATTTCTGACCTATTAGGAAGAGAAGGGCTTATTGTTGGAAATAAAATGTGTGTTTTGTTTTTTTTACATCGTTCCATGCACTAGCACACAGTGGTACCGACAGTGACCTGGGCTTGGGAGAGTTGGCCCCAACAGCATGGGTGCAGGAGAGTCAACCCTGCCTCTCAAATGGATGACACAGGAGAGCTGGCCTCGATGGCTTGGATGTGGGTGAGCTGCTCCCACCTCTCTGGCTGACCGACTTGGAAGAGCAGGGCCTGTCCCTCGCCTGGGCAGCAAAGCAGGCCCTAACACCCAGGACAGCTGGCCTGTTGATGCTACTGACTGAAGAGATGGTCCTGTCCCTCCTCTGGGCAGTGTGGGAGACACTGGAGAGCCAGCCCCTATGACATGGGCATGGGAGAGCTGGCCCCACCTCTTGCCCAGAGGGGTGCACATGCTGGAGAGCTGGTCTGCAAGTAGGATCATTCCATGACTCAGCACAACAGTAGGGTATTTGAGAGTTTCTCTGAGGGTTCAGTATTGATGTTGCAGTAGAAGCCAAAGGCATTGAACTAGCCTAACAACTAGTTGCAACGAACATTTGAAAAAAAAAAAAAGCTGTTTGGGCTGATTGGGCAAAAGGGTGTATGAGATACTAATGTGATACGTAGCAACTTGGAATGCCACTACAAGGAAAGAATGTATGATGGAGACGCAGGAACCACAGAGGAGTGGAATGGTACATCCCAGAATGCTGCAGTTGATACAGGAGCAGGTCATTGCCAAGAGGGGTGGATGAGGTTTTTTTTGGGAGGGTCTACAAGGATGCAGGTTGCTGAGAAATAAAAATTATGTTTTTAAAAAAGTTATCATTCCACTGACTAAATCCAAGAAAGGCACATATTTTACATTTCTTTTGTTTTTTTTCCTTTTGTTTTTGTTGTTTCAAGATAGAATTTCTCTGTGCATCTCTGGCTGTCCTGGAACTTACCTTTAGATCAGGCTGGCCTTGAACCAGAGATCCACCTGCCTCTGCTGGGATTAAAGGCATGTGCCACCATGACCAGCTCTAGTCTGCATTTCATAAGGACAGCAGTTCCTGATTTCTCGGTAACCGGCTTATTCATATAAGTGAGGGAAAGTTCAGCTAAGCAACTTCATCTGCCCAGTAAACATCCTAAGTTACATTTGTAATGACAAGAAAGTTACAGTCTTCTAGGATCTGGAGACACTCTATTTTCTTTATAAACATATTCCTTTTTTAAAAAGCAGATTGGGAAAGGCATTCAACTAATATCAAGCCATACATATTTAGAATTTCAGATATATTTTATGGCAAAATTAGAAGTTGCCACAATAGAATACAAGTTTCTTAGCTTGACATGAAAATGAGTACAGCCTGTGTTCCTCATATCTTGGGTAATATACTTTTTTTGCTGAACCTATATTGAAAATATAAACCTATATATATGGAAATAATGACACAGAAATAATGGAATTACAAAGCAGAGCAGACAGTAAATTGCTACTACAGCTATGAATGTGTTTAGAATGGTTTCGGTTTTATGGTGCTGTGCGTTTCCAGTATGGTATCTTCCAAGTGCAGACAGTTGAAGTGGTACCATCGTGTGTTACATGTGCTCGTGGTGACTTGGTGAGTGAAACACAGTGGTTATCAGTAATGTTTCAGTCTACTATTGTAAACAATAGGCACCTAGGGCCGTTTAGAAGATAGGAAAATAGTCTCATCTTTATTAGGGGTACTTGACACCTCACTGAACTCCACACACACATCACCCACCCGCCATGCTCTACAATCAGCCCTTTGTTTCATGCTGCACCCACATGTGAGATGTGAAAAGGTCCAAACCTCGCTATTTTCTCACCAATTACTTTTCATAATAAAAGCAAACATAATTCCTTGTCAGTTATTTTTCAATCCCCACATAGCGCCTACAATATGGAAAAAGAAAAATAATGGACAAAGGAGGATTGTTACAAAAATTAAAAAGATGACTTTGAGGCACTCTGATGCAATTGCAGGGAATTTTGGACAAGTTTTTAAAGACTTGATTTGAGAAGACAGACACAGTATGCAAAAACAAGCTGTCAAATTCAGTGTGTTCCACTGAACTGAAAAAATAAATCTGTGTTTTCAGCAGAAAAATTGTTACGTAGCATCTCAGATGCATTCAATTACAAAATTTGTTTATATGTTAGCATATTTAATGACAAAGTATCAGAACCATTTACTGGTGGTAAGTTTATTAAATCATGAATGGAACATGGTTTGATATCCCCTCTAAGAGTAATATTTCTAAAATCAGCTTGTCTCACCAGCCTGCAATTTGAGGAAACTAGGTGGAATTAACTATGAGGAGTAAATTTTACATTTTATGCTTTAATGACAGATTGCCACACTGATGCTACAAACACAGTTCACCTTGCCACTGTTGTTAAAAGTATTTATGACCATCATGTTCCTGAAGAAACAGATTCTCAACTAAATCAAAAGATTTTACACCAAATGGTCAAAAAGAAGTTAAAGGGATTTGCTTTGTCCATTGTCAACATATCTGTTATAGTCACTGATAATGCCTTGGAGACAAAAGATAAAGGAGCAGGGTTGTAATGTAACAGAAGACAATGCAACCACTTTCTCAAATTCATGTTTGAATAAGTATATCGTTACCAACTTGTGAATCTTGCAAGAGCCAAGGAACTAATCGTAACCAATTCAGAAATTCCTCTAAAGTGTTGAGGTTGACTATGGAGACATCATTTACTTTTCAAAAGTAAGATGGCTAAGTTAAGACCAAATATTGAAATTATTTTTTCGTTTAGGGCATGTTATCAAGTTGTTTATGGAAGCAAAAGCTAAATTTGTGCCAGATCTTAATAATAAAAACTGGCTAAAAGACTTAATATTTTTATATTTAAAAGGGCTAAGTCTGTGTATTCAGAATGAAAACTAACTCATCAATGAAATATTTCTAATTATAATAGAAATCCAAATGAAACTGGAATCATGACAAGCTCAAATTCAGAAAATTTTATGTATTTCAACACATTGGCTGAGCAGTTTTGAGCACAGTAAAAAAACATATAGCCTTTCTTTTCAGTTTTATATAGCTTGAAAACAGATTTCAAGATTTCTAGGGAAATTCTATTTTGCTAAGTTTACAACTTTTTTTTTTTTTTTTTTTTTTGGTTTTTCGAGACAGAGCTTCTCTGTATTGCTTTGGAGGCTGTCCTGGAACTTGCTCTGTAGACCAGGCTGGCCTTGAACTCACAGAGATTCGCCAGCCTCCCGAGTGCTGGGATTAAAGGTGTGTGCCACCAACGCCCAGCTATAACTCTGTTTTTAATCAGCATAAATATGTACAATTTTCAAAGGAAACACATAACGCTTCAATCTAACACTCAATTTAAGATAATTCTTAAAGCAGGATAGTGGTGGCATATACCTTTGGTTCCAGCACTGGGGATGCAAGAGGCAGTCTGATCTCTGTGAGTTCAAGACTAGCCTGGTCTACAAAGTGCAGGACAGGCTCAAAAGCTACAGAGAAACCATGTCTCAAAAAAAAAAAAGGGTAATTTTTGTCTAATATGACCCAGAGAAGCCAAAATAATTGAACATGTCAAATCTAGAGCATGAACAAACATGGTTTCTGAATGATACTTCCAGAGTTTTTCTCTCAGCCTAGAATGGGACATTTCTAGTAAGATCCAGACACTATTCATACTGCTAGCCTGGAGCTACCCTTAAAAACTCATTGCTTTAGGGTGATGGACAGGAGCAGGTTGCGGCTGAAGCTATCAGGGAGCTCAATGCTCAGAAATGGGAAGGAAAGTCCACATTGTTGGCAGTACCCTAGGGAAAGTGCATTTGCGTACACCAATGCTATTTACAAGGCAAAGGATGCTGAGCAGGCCTCATAGCAGTGACAAGGTGATTACACATCTCTTCAGTAACATCAGTTTTAGCCTGGTACTAATAAATGAAAAATTAAAAGCTCAAACACCTATTATTCCTCTGGCTCTTTTATCTTTTTTTAAACTTTCTTTCACATCATATGCCACAATCCCACCCATCCTCACCCCCTCACTAATAAAACAAAACAATTTAAGAGAAAAAAGCTGGGGGCAGGCTTGATAGAAGCTGTGGTGTGACACAGTGAATCACACAGTAAATCCCTTTATCCATCTTTACATGCAGGAGCTCATAGCAAAGAATCTTGGGTCTGTTTTGAGGTCCCTGGTCTCTGCTACATCGTGGATGCTGCCTTGTGTCATGGAGATCATGCAGCCCTGGGCCCACAGGACCAGATCCTTGGCCACTACCCAGCCCCTCTAGGTTCCAGATGGGGTAGATGTTGGGGTGGGCTAACACGTAACACTGATTCTGGGCCTGGGTAGTTGCAAGGATGGTCAGCCGGCAGCTCTCCCCTGCCTCCACCACCAGCGTGAGCTCTCCAGCACTGCCCTGGCTTGTCTGTCCCTTGCAGTGATAAGCTAGGGGCAGCACCTATCCTGCTGCCTAGGTGAGGTTCAGGGCCTGCTCTCCTGAGTGCTGCAGCTGATGGGGATCAGGGGCAGCTGTCCTGCTCTTATGACTTAGGGCCAGTTCTATCTACCTCAGCTGTTGATTGGGGGGGTGTCTCTTCCCCACCCAGGCCACACACTGCAGGAGGCGAGCGGGTCTAGGTCTCCCATGTTCACAGGCCAGCATACCGTGCCCATGTCAACAAGGTCGGCTCCACTGTGCTGCCCAGATGAGGTGGAGGGCCCACTTTCCCGACTACTGTAGCTGGTAAGCTCCCTTGCCAGCTGGAGGCGGTATGGGCGAGGTGGGAGGGGTCTTGGCCCTGCCCCCCCACTACACCACAGGTGAGGGAGGTGGTAGCAGCTAGGCCCTCTCCCGCCCTCAGGGCTGGCTTAGTCAACTCTACTATACTGCCCAGTGGGGCACAGGGCTGCCGCGGGTGGGGGTCGGGTCAGGTCCCCCACCTGCTGCAGGTATTGAGGGGCTAGGGGAGGAGATGAGAGGGGCATGGCCTGCTCTTCCATTCTCACGCCCTCGGTGAACAGGGTCAGCTCACTGTGCTGCCCAGGTGAGGTGAGGGCCATCTCCTGAGAGCTTCGGTCAGTGAGAGGCAAGACCAGTTCTCCCTAGCTTTACAGCCAGTGAGAGGCGGGGCCAACTCTCGGCAGCCCAGTCTCTGCCTTTGGTGGCATCAGGAGCCATGGACATCAACAGAAATTGTGACCCCAAGGAAGTGAAGGGGTTGGTGTCCTGCACAAGTTGACAGTTGTTAACTGTCAACATTTTAATGCAACAAAACAATGACAGGAGCAACTACTCTCGTACTCTGGGAGATACAGTCCTGTGCGCTCTTGTCAGACCTCTGGGATAATGTTGGTTGTGTCCTTTTAAGAAAAGTTGTAACTTGATAATCTTGTCAATTATACAAACCTTGGTCAATTATACAAGCACTTAAGGTCAGGATGAAAAATAAAACATCCAAGGGAGTGCCATGCTTTTATTCACCATCTTGCATATAAATGGCAACAAATATCTCATAGTACAGTTTTAATTTGACAGAGCACTTTTACAACTGTTGTGTAATTTAAGAGGCTACCAAGAATATCAAGTCACATATCTATTTTTCCATGAAGACAATAATTGGACAAACTTGATAAAGACCAAATTATCTAAACTACATTTCTAAGAATTTAGATTAATATTGAAAATTATTATGAATACTCATTTGTCTCAGTATTGTCAAGACTATTGTTCTTCCAAATGGTTTCAAATAAATGAAAAAGAAAGTAATTTAAGTTTCCCAGTAAACAGAACAAGAAGCCTTTTACTAAATGCTAGTAAAATATGGGCACAATGTTACTCTTTTAGATACATCAAGTCACATATAAATAGAAGAAAACAACTCAAACTTGTACTATTTCTTCAAAGAACCATTGTCTAGGCAACATTTAGCACTCAAAACTCGCTATAATTTTTCTATTGCAATCCTGAGAAAGCATTTCTCTTCACATCACCCTTGGACTTGAAAGCTCTTAGTCAACCTTGTCTTTATCATCAGCCCAGTTTTTATCTGACTTAATGTGATCAGTTCATTTTCCCTGCTTAGGGTAGCCATCACAATCTCTCTAGTTCTTCCATGCCATCATAATCTCTCTAGTTCTTCCATACATTACAGGGAAGTCTCACCTGTTTCCACCTAACTCCGTCTCCCTATGACCCTGTTTAGGCCTTGTTAGCCTGGCTGGGGAGTTGGGAAGAGAGGAGATGGGGCAGCCAGAGTTCTGCAGCCTCTCTGAGCATCCTCTCTGGAAATGCTCCCAGTCTAAATGGACTACAAATGCTGACCTTGCAGATATTTCTGAACTACTTCTATTCATTTAAAACAACAAGAAGAAGGTGGGAGAGGGTGGAGCTTGGTATAAGCCACGGCAAGCAGTATTAGAAGGTGGTGCAGGAAGAGCGTCGGGAAAACCGCCCACTTGCTCTCCTGCAGTATCATTAATGCCAAGCAACTGTCTGCAAACTTGGTGTCCACACTGCCACATGCTCAACAGGTAAATGGAAGGGCTCCCTAGACGAAGGTGGCAGCAAGTAGGTACCAGACTGAAATCAACAGGGTCCGAGCAGTGTGAAAGCAGCGTGATCTTCAGTATCACGAGTTAAGCTTCGAAAGGGTCTGAAACACCATGAGCTAGCAGACACTACCACAGAACGGCATGGAGGCCATGTGACAGCAGCAGCATGTCCACAGTCTTAATCTTGAGGGTGAGATGCAGAAGACGCAGAAAAGTCACGAGGGGGGAAAAAATCAAGAACACGGCATACCGGTAGCATTTGCTCAAGCACAGGTGAGAAGCAGCCTGTTCCGGCAGCATTTTCAAAGGCAAAGGTTAGCCTGACTGGAAGCCAAAGGGCCTGGGAATCTCCACTGGCTCTCTTACTGGGCGGCGTCTGGGTCTCCGGATTCCCTCACGGGACAGGTAGTACTGCAGTGGGTTTGGCCACAGGTCCTCTTTGATAATCTCGGCAATTCTGTCGGATTCCGGAAGGCTGTGGTCTGAGAACCAGGTGAAGAAGCTGCAGATGAGGTTTTGGTTTCTGCGAATGAAGGACTGCGGCTCGTGCCCCCTCCGCCATATGATCGGGGTGGAAAGGGACACCACTCGGCCAGACGCCCGAACCTCGTATTCCTTGACGATCAGCTTGTTTCTGAAGTAGGGGTTCCTCCGGAAGAAGAACTTGAACTTGCAGCCGGTCTTCGGGTGCCTGAGTTCCTTCACCTCCAGGTTGGTGACGTACCTCAGCATCTCTGCATCCTGACCCCTGATCATGGAGGACAGCTGCGGGTGGTTCCGGAAGGCGGTCATCCAGAAGCCGGGGATGTTCTGAATGATGTAGTTCCTTCTCTCCAGGTAGTGCCGCCGCATCCGCCCAAACTTCTGCTCCAGATGTTGGAAGGCCCGGTCAGCCTGCGCATTCACAGTGTCCAGTTCCTGCTGGATGGCCTCCAGGGGGTTCATGCGGAGATTTATGCCCAGATGCCAGGGCCCGGCCTCCTCCTCCTCCGCCTCCCTCACCCCTCCGCTCTCCTCCAGCATCTCCGCGTCTCCCCCCGCGGGCTCCAGCTCCATCACCTCCTCCGGTCCCTCCGCCGCCACTGCCACCCGAGCCCGCTCCTCTACAGCTGCCACGGCGACGGCGCCCTGCTGGGTCTTCAGGCCGTCGGCCTCGGCGCCCCGGCTTTCTGCGGCCTTCTCCCCGCCTTTGGGGGCGGCTGACGCGGCTGCCGGGGGACCCTCGGCGGCAGGCGGAGTCTCTCCCTGCCCGGCTGCGGTCACCCGCACCTGGGGCTCAGGGCCCACGACGCCCGGGGACGCCGGGCTCGCCGCGGTCTGCGCGCCGCCCTCACCTGTCACCACGGTCGCCGAGCTTTCCTCGCCGAGCAGCGGACGCCGGCCCGGGCTCCCCGGGACGCTGTCAGCATCGCGCAGGCCGCGCTCGTGGGGGACCAGGGTCCCCTCGTCCGGCTGCGGGCCGTCCATGCCGGGTCCGGTCGCGTCCCTCGCGGGGTCCACACGACTCCCCTGCGAGTGCGGAACGCAGCTCCCGCTACGCCCCTTGCCTGTCTCCGGGGCGGTGACGTCAGAGCCGCAGCCCGCGGGTCTCGCGAGGGTTTGCGGCGCGGGGCATGTCGGTCCTCCTAGGAGGCCGAAGACGGCGGCGGCGGAAGTGCTTCCAGGGTTTTTGCGAGCAGCCCGGCCGCCGCCGCGGTGGCCGCGCGATGCTTTACGCTGCCTCCTGCCCAAGGTCGGCCAACAAGTGCGTCCGCCTGCCAGTCACGTGAGAAAGTAAAAGTGCCGCCGGGCTTCCGAAAAAGCCAGGAGCGAAAGTGCCGGCCCTCTGGTGCTGAGGAGGATCCCGCGACCTCTGGGCTAACCTGGGCTACCTAGGGAGCCGCCGCCGTCCCAAAACAATAATAAAATCACAACTCGCTTCTAACCTCTGGCGTCCCTGGGGGGACAAAGCGCTGTGGGGTTTAGGAATTGCTGTTTTCCGGAAGATGCTTGGTGGCTGTAACTGATTGCTCTTACGGTGATAAACGCCCCATCCACTAGTTCTTACAAGAATCCTGTGACGTGTTACGACATCCATTTTACTCTCTGGAGCTGAGACGAGGAGAAACAGCGGCTCACCAAATCGCATAGAAAAATGACAGATTTGCGTCCAGGAGATTGGATTCCGGTGTTCTCTGCACAGAGTGTGACGTCACTTTAACACAAAGCGTAAACGCATAGTCAGTCTCAACTTGTGATACGTTTTTCCCTCCTCCACGTCCACAAACACATGAACATTTACACGTTAACACAAAACATTCAGTCCCTTTCTGTTTTGAGGAAAAGCAGGTAGTTATATAACCTGGTCCTCAAATTCAGTATTTTCAAAACGATCAGAACAAATGCCCCAAATGCCACCTTTTGTATAACAAATATTTCCAAAACATTAATTACCTTCTTGCAATGAAGTTCATGGACAATATAACTTAGATGCACACATAAATATAAAAATATAACAATTTTACCATAAAAGTTATTGTGGTGGCGATTTTAGTATGGCAAAGGAGTCACCGGCTTACTATGTTATGAATGGCGTAAAGTTACACTTCTCATAAAAGTCACTGGAGATTAAGCCTGATCAGGATGTCTATATCAGATCTTCTGAAATTGTAATCCAGTTTTGGTCAAGTTCTGGGGAAAAAAAGACACACACACACACACTGCACTTTATTTTTTTCCACACCAAGAACGTTATTTTCACTTTTAACTATTTGCTAGCTATGTTATTCCCACCAACTCTCACTAGAGGGAGCCACTTGTCCTTTAGAAAGTGACTGCGCCAATGCTAGAACTGGATTCTTGTAAATGCAATGCTAGAACTGGATTCTGGTAAATTGGCCCTCAATCTTTTATTCACACTAAACACTGATTGTTTAAAGAAGCATCTTATACAGGATTAGTTTTATTTTGATTTTCCAGTGACCACCAGACTGAAGTGTACCATTTGGTTCAGCCTGTCTGACAAGGTGCCCACTGGTCATGGACTTGGTTCAAATTCTAGCTCCATCATTCATTGACTGTTTGACCTGGACAAGTCACCTCACCTCTCTAGGCCAGGTTTTCCTAATCGAAAAGAAGTTGTGGGCTAGAAAGATGGCTCAGCAGGGAAAGACACTTGCCACCTAGTCTAAGGATGAGTTTAATCCCCAAGACCAACATGGAAGAAAGAAAATGATTCCTGAAAGTTGTCCTCTGACCAACAGAAGTACTCCATGTCATGCTCATGAGTGCATACTTGAGAGAGCGTGTGCAGACGCGCGTGCGTGCACACACACACACACAACCAATCAATAAATCAATGATTTTAAAGGAATGTTTATACTTAAAAAGGAAATTATCATTCCTGTTTTAGAACCCTAATATGAAGATGACACTAAATGAATAAAATAAAAAATGATGCAAAAAGTATTTAAAATGATAAGATTTCTACTAGTAATATAACTTATGCTGAAGCTTACATTACATTTTAATTACATTTTTGTTGACTGACTTAATGATGTCCTATAGAGAGTTAAGGGCATGAAGTTCAAAGACAAAGTCATTCATGCAGATGAGAGTATTCAGTGTATGCTTCATGGAGGAAGTGGAATTTGGCTAGGTTCCCACTTTGCATAAGGGCTAACCATCTGGAGAAAGAGGTGAAGCCTGGGAACGTAGGAAGCAGATTTGCACACGACTCCAGCTCCTCGTGGTCCAGTCTACAGTTGTCTTACATAATAGCCACCATCCCCGTGTAGCTTTATTTGTATATTAATCAAAGAGAAATAAAAACTTTAGCTCATCAGTTACTCTCACCTCCTTTAAGGTGCTGAATGGCGACATCTGGGTAGCAGCTGCTAAACTGAAAAGCACACAGCATTCCATTGTGCGACAGTTTGATTGGGCATTTTGCTATACCCAGCATCATGTAGAAGGAAAGTAGGTTTGCTGGAACTACAATGGCATACAAAGGAACAGCAGGGACACAACTTATAAATGCTTTATAGAGACAAAACATTGGAATTCATCCTTTTAGTCTTCATTTATATATATGTGTGTGTGTATATATTTATATATCATATATATATATCCCATTTATAAAATTGGGAAGGGACAATATTACGAGAAGTACTTACTGCCTCACATAATGTAAAAAAATTGATCCAACATCTCAGATGGATGCTGGGGTGGGGTGGCGTGGGGATGGGGACAGGAGAGATCAGGTGTCAGGAAAGACAACTGGAGTTGAGGGGATCTTGGGGACAAACTAGGAACCTAATGCGGTGGAAACTCCCAGGAATCTATAAGGGAGACCCTAACTAAGACTGACTTTGAAACCCTTTTCCTCATCCTGGGTTGCCTTAGTATGAAGGAAGGTGTCTAGTCTTACTGATATGCCATGCTTTCATTGGTATCCATGGGAGCCCTGCCCCTTTCTGGAGAGAAACAGAAGAGGAGTGCGTGGGGGAGGAGAGGGAAGGTAGGGGACACTGGTAGGAAAGGGGGGGAAACTTCAGGGGATATAAAAATAAAATGAAAAGGATGATCCACATGTCATGCACCGTCACTAGGAAACCCACAGATGTAATTTACGAAACTGACAAAGCCATCACCCATCACCCTCCGGAAAGGAGAATGAAGCTAAATGAAGCAGTGCTGGACGTGTCACTTGCAAAACTGGAAAATTAAACTGGTTATAAAATCAAAAAATAAATGGCCGTTCACAGATACCTACTATATTTTTGTAAAGTAATAGTGTAAAATGATTTTTAAAACTTTGTACATTATATAAGTATTTTAAAGTCACTATGAACCATAGAGATTTACATGGCAAAATACCTGAATTTGACATGAAGTCACTTCATAAATATAACTTTTGTATTTGAAACATTTCAAACTCCCAAGGCTCAGAAATTTCATACAAAGGAAAATAAGAAATTTCTGAGTATTTTCTATGGGGTGCAGATGAGCAGGCAAAATTACCATTCATTAAAACTCCAAACCTTATATATAATCTTACAAAAATACTAGCAACTTTCAAAAATATAAGCCCAGTTCCAGAGTCAAAGAACCTTTTTAGAACAACCAGACCTTTATAATTAAAACAAAAACTAAATAAATAAATATAAACAAAGAGCCCTTCTGTTTTAAAGGAAAGTTCATCAAGGTCATTCTTTTTCCAAGTAAAAATTAATTCAATGTGAAAAGCTAATATTTTGATATCTAATTTAATACCTCAGTTGTCATAACTCTTCATGTGAAAACTCTGCCTTGTGAAATCATTGGCTCTAAGATTATGTTATAACTTCCTTTGGTTTGTAAGCAAACATTCTATGCATACCTATTTGGAAAATGTGAAGGCTGATTTGGAAAAAGACCATCATTCAGTCCAGTTATCAGTGGAAAGCTTCATAATTATTGAACTTTTGCCAAATAATATGTGCTATGCTAAACGTATGGATGACTAGAAGTAAATTCACTTTTTGTAAAGATGAATGTGCTTCTGTGTGTTATGTTAACTAATTCATAGTGAAACATAGGTATAGCCCTATGTTTACCTGACCCCAGAGCTCTTTCTGCTATGCCATGTTACTTTTCTGATTTCTTGAAATAATTAAGCAACATATAGGAACCCGAGAGTGACTGCTGCTTTTTTCTATTGACATTTTTTCAGGATTTGTATCTTGAATAATAACACCCCAAGGATCCCAAAGCAGTGTTGTCTTCATTGATTGAATGAATGATTCTACCCTTTTCCTAGTTAGGATTTCTATTGCTGAGATGAAATATTATAATCAAGGGTTTTTGGCTTATGCTTCCACATTCATTGCAGTCTATCATAGAAAAAGTCAGGATAGGAACTCAAATATGGCAGCAACCTGGAGGCAGGAGCTGATGCAGAGGCCATGGGCGGCGGTGCTGCTTACTGACTTGCCCATATGGCTTGCTCAGGCTGCTTTCTTATAGAACCAGGACCACCAGCCCTGGGTGGCCCCACCCACAATGGGCTGGATGCTCTCTCACCAATCACTAAGTATGAAAATGTTCTACAGGCTTGTCTACAGCCCTATATTTTGGAGGGGTTTTTTCTTCTTTTTTTTCTAGAATGAGGCACCCTCCTCTTCAACGAGTCTACCTTGAGTCAAGAAAAGATGCAAGCCAGCCTCCAGAGGAACAAGACTTGCTAGAGGTTGGGTAAAGCCACGAATCATGTGGCAAAATGTAGATTAATAAGAATGGGTTAATTTAAGTTGTAAGAGCTAGTTAGTAATAAGCCTGAGCTATAGGCAGAGCATGTTGTAATTACCATAAACTTCTTTGTGTTTGAGATCAGGACAAAAGAAAAACTCTGCTTCCGATTATAGTAACATCTGAGACTAGAGACACGTGCCATTTGTTCTTTCCAGACACAATAAATTCAAAATATTTGTTAATTCTTACTCTGTACAGGATTCTGAGTATATGCTGCCATAGAGACCCAAAGCATGGTCTGTGTTCACTGGGGAACTATGGCACCGTGGAGAAGATGGAGAAATTAATAATTGAAGCACCACATGA